TTTACTGTGTCTGTATTTTGATATTTTAAAGCATTAGTAATAATTTTGTGTACAGTATTTCTTCATTGAGAATGATTAAGACATTAACTGTCAAGTTCAGTGGATTAAATGGGTTACTAGAACACTAGTTTGAGCTACACGGCATCAAATATAAGTACAGCTCCTCCCCAACTTAAGACCACCCGCACTTACGACCTGTCTCGGTCATACCAAAATTTTGTCAAATTACGTATTTTCGAGCACCAACGTCAGTGATTGTTCTGTGTACTGACAAAAATTTTTTTTGTAATTCTCTTTAAAATGGCTGGCAAGCTTAAAAGTGAGAGTTTTGTGGTGCTGAGAAGAAAAAGAGACACCCATTTAGATTTTCTATGTATCTTTTAAGCATTTTTGACTTACGACCATTGCGACTTACGACCTGAATTTGGGTCCCTAACCTCGTCATAAGTCGGGGAGCAGCTGTACTGTTCTATAATATATTTAATTCTCAATTAGGCACTCGCTCAAAACATTGTTGTTGTTTCTTTCCACACTAGCCCACCAGTATTGGATTCTATGTACAATAGTATTTATTTATTCGATTAAATTTTTTTTTTTACATACAGGTAATAATTTATAAATAATTTCCATCATTTGTCAGATTCTTAGTCACTTGGGCAGTTTGTCTGTTCTTTGTTCTACTTTTATCCTCTTATCACTAATCGGCTCATTAGCCACTTGGGCGGTCGGTCACGTCTGTTATGCACATTGGCAAGTAATATTATAGGAAGAAATTGAATTGGCCAGGGAACCCCTGTGATGTATGGGGGTCACACTGGGTCAAACTCAGATATCACATTTTTTCCTGATCCCGGGATGAGAATCCGTAATAGTCTCTCCTCGACTTACGACAACCCTGACATACGACGGCTGTGGTCGTATAAAATATTCTTCACATTACGTATTTTCGAGTCCCGACGTTAGTGATCGCGCTGTGTACAGTACTGACAGAATTTTTGTTTGTAGTTCCCTTTAAAATGGTTGGCAAGCGTAAAAGTGAGAGTTCTCGTGGTGCTGAGAAGAAAAAGAGACACCCATTTTAGAATGTATATGTATTTTTTTCGCCTTTGCGACTTGCGACCAATTCGACTTACGATCTGGTCGTCGGGACGGAACCCCGTCGTAAGTCGAGGAGAGTGATGCTGCTTATTACAGGTAGCTTCTAAATTCATAGCTGCTATAGTTACTGAAAGGTCTTTATTGTATTTCTTACTACAGTAGTGGGTTTATGCAGGTAACCATCAGAGTTACAAAAATGGGGAGTTTTTTTATTCATTACCAAGCAGATATTACAAATGGCCACAGAGCCAAGTTGTAGTTCATTTGGAGTGATGAATGACTCCAACTAATGTACACAAACCACCACTGAATACTTGAGTTTTTCTGACTAAAATCAGACATACAGTACACTTAGGTGACAGTTATTAATTTACTGAAGGTGTGTTGGTAGTGATCTATAGGAGAAAGATATAGTTTGTGATTCATGGGAAGATTTAGACTTTGTCTAATGGGGTCCATCTGACGGCAAGGGGACTCTTGCATAAATTACCTTGAATCTTTGGTTTTATTTTATCAATATTAATTTCGGTTATCCTGGAGCAGATCGCTAGCTCCAGAATGCGTTGTTCAATTTTGTTCATTTTTCCATAGATGTTCTTTGGATGACAGTAAATAATAAAAATAATGCACAGAACCTAAGAGAGCCCGACCTAACACTTAGTGCCCCTGGGACCCTCGGTATATTCATCAGAAGGAACTTGCCTTAATAGAGTTTAGCTATGGTCGCCTGGAGGTGGTGGAACCTGTCTCCTCCTTCAGGGAAGCATTTCTTAAAGAGGGACTTGGCTACATATCCACCGAAGTGTTCCTCATGCCAGCCAAAACGTGGGATATTTGCTCCAACATCCCACCACTGTCATTCGTTGTTCCATGTATGGGCACCAGTATGTGGGTCCATAAAGTTTTCACCGTGATTCATTGTTGAATGCTGGTAGTCATGGGGGTTATGTAACCTTTCCAGCAGTCTTATGCTGTAAAATGGGTCCATGGAAGGGCCCTCTCCTTGATGATCCTGATCAGTCTCTTGTTTCAATCAGTACAGTACAGGGTAAATTTGCACTTGCACATCACACTCTGTTAGAGAGTAAAAAATATATTTTTCTAGTGTCTTTGTGTGTGTTTATACCAAATATGACCTTCATTTCTGTCGGAAATTGGCTAGGTTTTTTTTTTTTTTTTTCGTGGGACGTTTCCTGAAAAAAATAATGGCTAAGCGAATAAAAAACACTAGAAAAACAAAAACCGAACCTTACCTAACCTAACTGACTCTCACCATATGATGGAATCACCTATTTCTTACCTTATTGGCCTGGTTCTTGTTCGTCGTTGCATTCTGAGATTCTTACACAACGCCACATATGTTGCTCTTTGTGATATTTACATTCAGTCTTGCACTTAGGACACTTTACTGAGGTTGGAAGAACACCATGCGATCGAAAAAATGCTATAGTTTCTTCGTTTTTTTCCCCCAAAACTCTCAATCAGCTCCATATACTTAAGTGACACCCGTCGCAGACTTCCATGGTGGGAAGTGAATATGAATTTGGAAATATGAGACCCAAAATAAAAATAAATTTTGATTGGGCCAAAAATACTGCGAATTAAAAAAAAAAAAATTTTAATTGGTTGCCAAAAAAAATGTTTTTGATTGGTCGCGTGACGTGTATGGGAACGCATGCGTGTAATGATTTATTAAGGAGACACGCAGTGTGGGAGTTGAGGTAGGCAATAATGGTGGCAGATTAATGGAAGAAAATAGAGAAAATTTTGGATATGCTATCTCCGTTATTATACATTTGCGATGGTAATGTAATAGATGAAAATGATCTTATAATTAGATGTCTTATTCGAATATGATAATAGATTAGTGGTAGGAATGTGGAATGTGAAAACGCAATAATACCCAGTACAGTCCCAGAACAGCTTTGTTGAACCTCACTGAATCCCGACAGCAAACCACTGGCCAGTAACAGTTATGCCACATCCGTATTTCCTCCTACTGAACTTGGCCTCATTGACCTGACGACTGTACCTGATCCACCCATCTTCCTACAGTTGGAAGTGCAATAAAACCGTAACTTACCTACAAAATAAAACCAGCCAATCCGTCTTTTAATCCTCTTCTACCTCATGACACAAGTGCTCAAATTATTCTATTTGTGTGTGTCCACAGCCTGGTCAAACACATGCAAGTGACATTTTAGTCTTGCCAAACCACGTTCCACTGAAAGCACTTTTCTTGAAACCTCATGCTGTAACTTTCCTTTTTTTGTGCTCCTGGTAATATGTTCAGTTGTTGCACTGGAACACATATTTGTTATTAATACAACGTCCCTGCTGCCTTGAGACGCTGTTGATCCTCGGCAAAGACTGACAGCCTGCGATAACTCGGGGAACAACTGGTGCACGATGCCATAACTGCTACTTAACACACAAGATGGGCAGCCGTGTCCAGCCTTCTCCTTCCTGATGTACAGTAAGAATCATAACTTGCACTAATGTCAACCCAATAAAATTTAAGAATTAAGGAAAGGTATCCAAGCTCCAAGTTTGGGTTTGAATCCCAACCATATGATTCTGTTGCTGTCAGCATGGAAGAGTTTCTGGTAGTACATATTGTGCAGTGCATGAAAAACTAGATGGGATTTGCACAGTAATAGACACCAAATGGCATGGTATTGGTTATAAACAGTTGATCAGAATGTCTTTCTTGAGTATTAGAACCATCCAGTGAGATGCTCTATTGTTTGTTATATATACTCTACCAGCAATTAATGGATTCAGGGGTCTATGGTTTAGGAAATGAACATTGAGATGGCAGGTTGGCGAGGAGAGTACTGTACCTGCAGAATCTGGGGATTTATTTAAATTTTTGGGTAAATATTTACTTTTTGTATAGAAAACACGTAGAGACATCATTTTAGTATCGTAGGATCAGTCTTATTGCCGTGTTTTACCCCGCAATTTCCCTCATCCTTCATGCCCTGCCAATGGGGTTTGTTCAGCTGAGTGCAATAGTCTAGCACTAGCCAGATGAAAATGAGTGATATCTCCGTTAGCTGGAACAATTAGTGCAGGACACTTCCGGGAATGAGAGATTTCTGGGTAACGGAGAAATGTTCTCGGAAGTCCCAGAAATTGCGCTTTACATCTTCTTTCGAACCCAGAAAAATGTCCACCTTTCCCGGAATTTTCCAGGTAACGAAATTTTTTTCTCAATCTCCGGAGAATGCGCCTGATTTTCATCTCTCAAACCCGGAAAAAATTCCCCCAACCCCATGGAATTTTCAAGGTAGTACTGGTAAAAATTTCTTGGAATTTTCCAGAAAATGTGCCCCTCGGAAAATCGTTCAGAAAGCCGGATTTTTTTCCCAAATTCTGGCTTTGGGAACAATTTTCCGAAGAAAATTTTAATTCCGGCTTTCAGAGAGTTGCATTTAAGAGGGATTCTGGCTATTGGAGATATTACCTATGACTGCTGCAAGACCCAGGTGACTCCAGCGACCCTTTGAGCTCGATGGGAGTTGAACAACCCTACGAGCTCTGCGACCCAATTATGATGGCGTTTTGTGACCCTGTATTTAGGAATCACTGATGTAGAGGTTCAAGGAAGTCTTTTATTTTTACAATTCAACTTAAATCTGCTGTATATAGTAATGAAAAACTTTCAAGTTTATATTCTTTGGCTGTACAGCACAGTATTGGGTTTCTGTTGTGTGTTGTCAGAAATTATTTAACCTTTTATTTGACAGCCTGATTGTCTACAGATGCATTGCTGCCTCTCCTTGGAAGTTTGTTAACTAATTTGACAAAACTTAGTCATATTTGCTGTGTTATCTCGGGCCGCTTGCACCGTCTCCCTCCACAGTACAGTTGTTATATTTCACGTTATTTCTTTACAGGATGGCAAACATTGAGCTGCATAACTCCTCCTCCTCATCCCGGCGGACAACCCCCCCTCGGCAGACGCCCCCCTGGCAGAACCCCTCCCGTAACTCTGGCTGTGGCACCCCAACTGGAGCCAACACTCCTCGGCACATGTCGGCTAAAAAGTCTCTTCCGGTGTTTAACTCCTACATGAGTCTTTTCCAAGTGCAGGAGAAGCTTAAGAAAGGAGAAGTTATTGAGGTAACATTATTAAGTTATTGTAGTGCTGTAAACTTTAGTTTGAAAACTACCTGCTGTACAGTACAGGTGCTTCTCTACTTACGAACGAGTTACGTTCCTGAGGCTTGTTTGTACGTCAACTTTACTCTTGTAGACACCAAACATATTGTAAAAAATGAGAAGATTATGGATATTTAGTACAGCTATACCCTTTAATACAGCCTTAAAACCTGGCTCACTCTTCTCCTCTTCAGTAATGTTTGTTCTATCTGGAATTTTCTTCAAAATAATCCAGTCTCATCCACATTAAACACCTGTTCTGGCAGGTAACCCCCTCAGTGATGATGTTTGTATCTCTGAAAGTTTGTAAGTTGATCGTTCTTAAGTAGAGGAGCACCTGTACTGTATCTTTAAATTATAAATACTATTATATTTAAAGCATACTATACAGTACTATAAAACATCTTGCAATACTATATATACAACATTCTGTTTAATAACTTTGATAAACTTCATTATAACTATGTACTGTATCCTTTAATCTGCAGTTAGTAGCATGTTAATGAGAAGATAATGAAAATTGCCACCATTTTGAACTTTGTGCCTGGTAACAGTGATTGAGTTGCTTTGCATCAGTGTTCCTAAGATAAGACTGTGAAGTAACATGAGATAATACATTTGAATAATAATGAACAGTACCATACAGCCAAAATCACATAATTGCTCCATGGAGAAGAAATACGGGTATTGAGAATTTCTGTTCACGTGTATATATACTGTAGTGTAGTGTATTATTCTGACTACCTGTATACCGTAGTAGGTTTTATTTATTATGAATACTTTATTTGGGTAAAAGCACCAGTGTTTGTCAGCAGCCATCAAACAGTATAGTTGAGAGGTGAAGCTTGGCAGCCACTGTGTGGTCTCCCGGCTCTCACCAAGATGACCTTATGTTTCTGGTCAATGTTTCACTCACTAAAGTACTGTCGACTGTGCTCTTTGCAGCTGTCCATTATACCTTGTATTAGAATGCCGTTTATACAAGGTAATTCATTATTATACTTAATTGCCAACATATCTATCAGTAGCTGCTGTATAATCCAAGGCATTGGTCTTTATGGGCTGCAAGACAAAATAATAACTCACTTTTTATAAGAGGTGTTCTTGTATAATGAACAGATCAATGGTGCCCGACTTAATTACTTTAGTGAGTGTTCATAAGACCTTGCCCGAAGGCTTAAGACCTGACATTGTGCGAGCAGTGAGCTGCCTGGTCGTGTCACACTGCTCGAGAGGACAGTGTGTTTGTACAGTAGAGATATTCAGTGTTCTCATTGTCATGATCAACCCTTAAGCTGGTGGCAGTACCCACCACCCAGGGGTAAATCAAGAAGAATTAACTTTTCCAAAAATATTTTTTAACCTTTTGAAATGATAAAACAATAGAAAAATAAGTAACAAAAACTATATATTGACCCTCTAGAAACTTCCCCAGCTGCCCGGAGGGAGGGAAGATGGGGGGAAATAAGGAGACAGTGTTGGTTTGACAGCTGACGCTCGTGGTCCCTCGGCACTTAGCAGCTATTTTTAGCTCGCCTTTGTGTCTGAGGTGGCCAGTTATGTATATTTTTACTGATCTTAATTAATACTTATTTGCTATAAATAATTCATTTAGAATATTTTATTTGTAATACTTTTCATTAAAAGTGCTTGGCAACAATCACCAGTTGGTCATCAGGTTGTCTGGCTGTCCTTGTGTTTGGTAGAGCAAGTAATGCATAAAATATTAATACAGTAATTCCACAAATAAATACATTTATAACATAATCATAGCATTATTTTCCAGTAATACTACACTACAATACAACTACACTACTTTAGCAATATTACTTTGATACAACATGATAAAATGGACAAACAATGGAAATGAAACAAACAAAAGTAGGTAATTATGTTCAGGAAGCTTCCCTGTGGCCGAGGTGTGGCGTGACAGGCAAATAGTCACGCAGGAACCCAATAACCCGCGCTGGGCATTTAAACTGGCGGGAAAAGGTGCGCTCTCTGGAACATCACCCAGGGGCCTTAGTGTTAATCTTCTACTGTGAGGTTTCAATGTTCTCATTTATCTGGTACAGTGTTACATAATTTCTTCAGTATACAGTTTACTGTACCGTATATATAATACAATAATAGAAATGATTTCCATTAATTAGAGTATTTATGTTACAGGGTGTGTTGAGAATCAACCCCAAGAACTATGAAGATGCGTATATCAGCGCGCCGGTAATTCTCGGTATCACCCGTTACATTCTCGTTGTACTGTTGTAGCCAGTACTGTGCCATACTTACCTTTAATACTTATATTATTAGCTACATGTGTTATTTTTTACCTATATTGTTTTATATCAGACAATAATAATATCACGTTATAATTGGGTACATGTATACACCACTGCATCTCATAGTAAAGTAGAGAAGACAGTGATATAAGTTGAATCAGTTACCACCTCCAGCCTCATAATGTAAACATTTATATAGTAAAGACAGGATGTAAGCTGTGCACCAAATATCTCTCATGTATATTTCACTCTTATAGTTCATTTTTTGTTTTGTCATGAGTAAGTTTGCTTCAGGAAAATGTGTTAATGAACTGATTCAAACTTGTAGTCTTATTGTGGATAATAATTACTGTGCAATATTGTTTTTGTTTTTTTCTAGATCAATTGGCACTATTGATCTTAGGGACTGTTGCCTTAACACATAATAGCACTGTTAATTATGTATCAGGTGTATATATATATAGTAGATGTACACCAACATCATCATAACACCAGAACAACAACCTTATTTAACTTTTGTTTGTATTTATTTAGATTCTTAAGTACAGTATTTATATTTATGTAGGTAGAACTGATACCCACAGTGTTATCAATATATTGTAAAATTGACACCAGCTCATCTGGTATATGTATACAGTTTAAATAAGAATTGTTATTGTGGCTTCAGAAAAAGAGGTTTGGATCAAGTGTGGGGAGAAAAGAGAGTATGAATGTTTGATAATTAATGATGTATATAGAGAGAAATGAAAGGAAAGACAGTAACAAAAAATATGGAGGAGAATTACTGTATAGCTTGGGCTGGTTGTAGAGTATGAGAGCAGAGTAGATGGGGCCCGGAGGTGGATATAGGAGTGAACCAGATGTCAGTCGGGTACAGTCTCTCCCCTAAGGCGGGTCGGACATACTGAGAGAATGAAGAGTGAATGGATGGTAGTAGGAAGGGACACACACACACACACACACACACACATGCATACATGTGTGTGTGTGTGTGTGTGTCTTGAACCCTTTTGTAGCCTCATTACTTATGTGTTTGTTTCATCACCATTAAGGACGGGGGGATGGACATCTATATTGGCGGGGTACTTGACCGAAACGCTGCCCTGCAAGGAGATGTGGTCGCGGTGGAAATTAACCCCCTCGACCAGTGGAAGGTACGGTGACTCACAACGCTGTTTATACCTTGTGAATTCCCAGAGTAAAATTGTTTTATATATTATTATTACATGGAAAAAGTTATAAATTGATTTGGAAATATATTGAAATGGTTTCCATGAGAAATTGTCCCATTTTAGTGAGCCAAATTTGTCTATATGTCAACTTTTTTTTCTTCTGCAGGTGCTGTATGATATATTAGATGAATACCTAGATGATCATGGAGAAGAAAAGAATATTGTATATACATCGCTGGAGTCCACTATAACTGCTTCAGTCGCCAACACTGCTTCTTCGTATAATAATCCTTTATCTATTAACACTAACGTCGGGCATAGCGGCAAGAAGAAAGAGAAAGGTGATGGAACTAATACACAAACTGTGGTAAAGGTTGAAGGTGGTCATCTTGAACAGTGTGAGAGTGATGTGGTGGTGGAGGAGGAGGAGGAGGAAGACTTGGAGCCAAAAGACAGTACAGAAGGGATTAAAGAAAAGAATAAAATCAGGAAGAAAAGAAGGGGAGGACGGGGGAAGAAAGGAAGGAGGAAACTGGATGGTGGTGAATTTGGTGCTAAAACTTGGTTGGACGCGCACGAAACACGCACCCAAGTTAAGACGGCTGTACCGGCACTTCTCGACGTTGAAGAGGAACAGGAATTGGCCTGTGACACTACAGAATTGGTTATACACTTGCAGGAGAAACCGGTCGAGGTCGCCGATGAAATTTTGCTCCTACCAACAAGGCAAGATCTGAGCAGCTTTCACCAGTGCGAGTCTGATGCCGACGACCACTCTGCGGTTGTCATCGTCCCACCAGACCAACTCAGCGAGTGCGAGTTTACCGACGACGAGAGCGGATGTAGTGAAATTCTCGACTACGACAGGGCGCGTGAGGATCAGAGTTTCATCCAGGCTCAGTGGGAAGCGTTTCAAAAGGAACAAGAACAGGAGAAGAAACAGAGGGAGACAGAGCGGGGCGATGGTCCGCCAGGGATGGGAGCAGTGTCGGTTGTGACCGTAAAGTCTGAGCAATTAGACCCTCGCCTTGGAACTGGTGATGATAAAATCAAGAAAATTACGGACCTTGATATGCTAGGATTCCTGAAGGAGGGATCTGAGTGTGTTGATACAAAATTTAGTGATTCAAATCCAGTAAAGGAGGGGGAGGAGGTGTTGAGTGCCAATGTTGTAAATAGTGTGATTAAAGGTGACCAGAATATAAGTAATTCTAGGGAAGGTGTTAATATAACTCTAAAGACAGAATCCTTACAGGGTGATGGGACAAACCTAAGTGAAAAGAAGAAGTTACCAACAACTAGGGAAGATAAGCTTACCCCTACTGCTGAGAGTGAAGATCAGGAGATAGCTGTGGGGTTGGAACAAATGAAACTAAAAAATGAGTGTAATTCAACTGTGCTTGATTGTAAGCCAACTCAGTCATGCGACTTTAAGAAAAGTTCTGTTGGCAGAAAGGGTAAATCCTGTGTTTCAGATCGACTTTTGTCATCTTTACCTAAAGTTACAAGTCCAGGAAAATCCACAAATACCTCAGAAACTGGACCCATTTCCATCGTGTCACCAAACCCAGTACTAGGCAGGCAGAATGAAGACTGTAGGGACTATCCTGAACACAACTACGATGTGAACTCTTACTGCGAGTCCCCAGATAAATACAACGACAATCTTGGGATACAACCATGGAGTGGGAAGACAAATCCTGAACCAACTTCTTATAATTCACACAACAAAAACTTAGTGGCAAAGAAACAAGAAGGTGCACAAGGATTTAAACAGAAATTTAAGTCAAGAAGTATGACGGGTCAATTAAGTGCATCAAAAGACAGAAAGGAACCAACTGTGTTGCAAGTGCAGAGACTCAACAACTGGGACAAGTTTGTTCAGCGCACAGCCCACGTCGTCCACATACTGGAGAGAAAACACACGCAGATGAGTGCAGGAACGCTGAAGCTTTTTGGGGACAAGAACCCAAACTTTGCGTTCTTCATGCCTACTGATCACCGTGTTCCTCGCATGAAGGTACCCATGAGACAGTGTCCACCCGATTTTTATGCCAGACATCAAGATTACCAGCGGAGAATATTTTTGTGTAAGATTGCTCAGTGGAGGGAGCCCAAATTTGCATTAGGGTATGTATAAATATGAATTTATGTTATATTGGAACTAATTTACAAAATTTATCTTCATTAGTTAGTAAATTCTTAGTTATTACCATGCAGTTCTAACATCATATAGAGCCATGCACTTATCCAGACCACTAAGCACTCTTTCAAGTTTGTTGGTATCTTAACATACACTCTTCTTGTATGTCCTCTGATGCCAATATAGTAAAAAGTGTTGCCTCTGTTATTTCTTCACTTCTTGCTTTTAATTGAACTGATAGCATCCTTCTCAATAAAACTACTACGTGGCTTATGCTAACACCTCGTTATTTGTCATTGAGTGACGGTGGCAGTTTCACGAATTATCTGGAGAAGTATTAGCGAGCTTTCGCTTCTTGACATGGCAGAGTGATTCTCTGAGCATACCGTAGCGAGTAACATCCTATCTCTGCCCAGGTGTGGGATCGAATCTGACTCAAAAACTTATGAAATCCGGTGCCTAGACATTCACTTAAGCAGAAAAACGGTGTTTGGTAAGGGTAATGAGAACTTTGTCATTGAGTAAGCCTGCTTTGTTTGGTGTTCATTGTACACAGTCTAGTTTTGCATATTAGTTTACTGTACAGTATAAATCACCAACGTTAAAGAAGATATATAATTCATTAAAGCTGACACTGAAGACTAAATGAGGATTTACACTAATTTGGTATTGTTGTCCAGATTATAATTGTATTGGAACAGGAATGTGAGTGTGTGTGGTGCTTCTGTTGGTACCTGATGGTGTCAAACTTTCTTGTGTTGGGGGAATGAATGGTAATGTTTGATGAACTGAGGTAATAGTTTGAAACATTTTCTCTGGTGATGGAAGACTTGTTAAAGTTGTGGCTGTTCAAAGAATGTTGCTTTATTATTGTGTGGCAGAAGAACGTGTTGCTGGCCTTGAGCCTAAATGCCCGGCCAGCAGCAGGATTTTTGCTGTTGCTAGAAATAACAACGGTGCGGCGGGTTATCTTTGCTGGCCGGTATTTCTATTTATTTGTCACTTTAAAACTTCTTTAGTACTGTATTAATAAATAGTTATTCAGCCAGCCGCCGCCACTTAAACAAACTTCACCCGTTGTCTTTTCTTTAGCTTTTACAGACGCTTCACTTGATTTAGCAATTGAAGAACTATAGCACAATCCTGCAAGGCCTCAACTGTAGTAATGGGATCCATGGCGAACCTCGTCTGGATGCTCTGTTGTTGCTTTCGTTGTGTTGGGCAGACGCGCCAACAAAACATCCCATTGTGACTCAAAACGTCTGTTTTGCTAGCTGGTGGACCGTGTTTGCCAAACATGTTTGGAGGAAAGTGCCCAGTGTGCTGCTGCCTAATGTCACTAAGCTTTAGGATGATGTGTAAGGGGAGGTGTTAGCAGTAGAGCCTAAGACTTGCTACACCTGTTGATGGGCAGACCAGAAAGTAATACACCAGGGGGGAATTTCTCCCCTCAGGTTTTCAGGGGGGGGGAAACTGATACTAATATGGAAAAAATAAATGATTTTCAGTATTATATGCATATTATTTGGAATGCACTTTTTGAGGCAGACAATCTTGGAAAGGAGGGGGCAATGACATTCTGACATGGTGAAAGGGGTGAATGGGGCAAACAAGGTTGAGAACCACTGTAATAGACCATAAACTTAGGTGCCTTAAAAGTCTTTTGGCACACTTGTTAAGGGCTTGCTGCTAGTGTAGGAAGGTCGGCTTATTTTGTTCTAATTATTATGCATTTGTTTTAATTGAAAATTTAATTGAAACATTGCAAATACAATTTTAATTTCAAATTAAGAGGATTCATGAAATGGCACGGTTTTTTGAATATCTTAGGAGAAACACAAGGCATTATTATACACTACTAACATTTAACCACTCGTCTAAATATAATTGACTGGCATTAGTCAAATGAAATTTTAAGAGTGGAGTCCCGTAGAGAAGGGGTTAAGACCCAAACTCCTTGTTATATAGGAAGGTCGTACAAACATACTCTTCCAGTTCCCCAAGGATGGAATACTGTACAATAATGACACCTGAAATGAATATTTTGGCTGTAACTCAAGTACTGTATAAGGGAAGCACCGGCTGAGTGAATAGCCTAATGTTATGACTCAGGGCACTTTAATCCACCCAGCTGTAGTAAATACAGTACAGTGAAGGCTGGTCACACTGACCTGTTGTGCACCAAAGGTCTAATAAATAGTAAGTTGTATCCAAACTATTCCTAATGGGCTATTGGGAACCACTTCTCACATTTGAACTTGTGTATATATAGAGAGAGAAGTAAGTAGAACATGTTTGCAAATATTCAGACAGTGGAGATGGGTGATACTGTACAGTGACCCCTCGTTTAATGAACGCCTCGGTTGACGAACTGCCTTCCATAAGGATCTTCAATTCGGTTAACGAATTTCTTACGAACCGACCTCAACATGTTTTCGCTTGCACTGACCGGGCAACCAGCTTTAGTATCAGTCTGCCAATACATTAATCGGTTCTAGGGCTTAAATTCCTTACTATTTTAGTAAATATCAAGAAGTTTATACTATTCAATAATTTTAAAAGTTTAATATTCAATTTTTTAGTCATTTTAACAATTATTGAACATAATTGAAGGTAAAGTGACTAGTTTAATGCGCGGCATCCAGCCTCTTAACACAGCAAACAGGCATTAGTCTCTCTCTCTTTTCACTGGAGGTAACATCTTGCTTGAGACTCTTCAACTAAACGCTTTATTTCTGTGTTTCCAAGCAAATTATTGGTCATTTTGAAATATATTTTACATATTGACAATATATAATGCAGTGCAGTGTTGATTTAAAGAAAATAATCTTGAATTACACCAAGAGAGCTAAAATTTATGGGTGAAATGGCGCCATGGGGTGACTTCTCTTCCACCCCAATGCCTTCTCTTCTTCCTTCTCCTCCACCTCCATTCTAAATCCCATCATCATCATCCAGGAGCCTTCTACATACACACCTCAAAGTAAGTGAACTTTTCTACCATTTTTGTTGAATTTAGGAAATTTTCGATGAGCTGGAACCAATTACCCAAAAACCCATTGAAACAATGGTTTCGGTTAACGAACGACATTCTGGAACGGATTGAGTTCGTTAACCGAGTGGTCACTGTATTTGGTACAGTCACCCAAAAAAGTCCTGTCGCGTTTCACCCTGAACCATGAACCCCAAGATTCAGACTCTTGAATCCGAAGCATTTACGGACAGAATAAATTATCAGTGTCTACTGCTTCGGGTTCATGGTTCAGGATGAGAGGCGACAGGACATTTTTGGGTGACTGTACATTACTTTGCTGCTTTCTAGGTGGTGCAGTATTGTGTATACATGATGCATCAGTGAAGTACAGTCGGTGTCAGGAATTATTTAAGCTAACTATCTAATAGGTACTTATGTCCACTAGTAAAATTGACTTGAAACAACACTGCCTTGAATGGTTTAAATACAGTGTTTATTGTTGTCAATAGTTTATGTACAGTGTACTGTATATACAAACAGTTATTGGTCATTACAGCACAGTCATTCCTCACATAACATGGTAGATGTTCTTCAAAAGTCCCAAATCTAGTAATATGTTAACCCTCTCATGCATGTTCACTTCATATGATAAGACCAACTATACGCTGATGCAGGTTGAGTTGTCGGACTTTAAATTAAGTTTTCAACAGTAATTGCATGAAATTTTGATGAGTCATAGTAGCAAGTAAGTTCGATCAAATAAACTAATTGGCAACTTTTGAGGCCCATAGGAAAGGACGACCGGAACAATAAATGTGCAGTATTTTCTCAGCAGTCAGACCGCAAGTGTAAACGGCGTCCATATAAACCTCCATAACTCCGTGCGGGCTGCCTCAACTCCTTTTACTCTACTCCCTGAAATTAATTTATTTTTAATGTTAGTTAAGTGATGGTTGTGTGATGTAATATTTTTTATATGTATAGTATATATTTACAGGGAAAGTGTTTAGTTTGAGAAAGCCATTACCGTATCAGGCTATACAACTTTTTTTATAGTGACAGTCTCTCGGAGAGGATGATTTTCAAGGTTTGGGTGAATTTTATCAGTACCATTCTCTTTGTTCGTGTTGACTGCAATATAATTTCTAGCGATATAAAACATAGGTATAGAAAGTAATAGAAAAAAGATAAAAAAGTTGTTTATCATTTGATTTTTTATTTCTCTAATTAATGATCGTCAACAACTGACAACTACATTGGAAAGCTCACCAAATTTATCTTCTAGCATTGTATAGTACAGTACTTAAAAGGTGGCTCAGACAGTTTTGAGTTGTGAACGTATTGGTGTGTATTTTTTGTTTCTTATAAGAAGTTTATCAGAACAGACGAAAAGTAGCTACCGGGTATAAAGTATTTTCTCAATTTAATGAACTAATTAGAGCCGACCTTTTCCGCTAAATCAAATTTCCGCTATTTTCGCTCGATTTAGCAAAGTACTTCGCTAAATTGAGCGTGATTCCGTTAAATTCCACGCCAAATGCGCTGCATGGCGTGTGGGGTTTGTTTACATCCGCTCAGTCTGTGTCCAGTCGCCACTGCGGGTGTTGTTCACTGCTTCCTTTTGGTCAACTACCTACTGTGCTTAGCTGAAAGTCTCTCGGAATGGAAGTGGTGTTGGGGAGAAAGTCAAAAGAGTGCAGCTATCAATTGGTAAAAAAGTTTGGAAATTATAGAAAAATTTGAAATCGAACACTGAACACCCTAGTTTAAGGTAAACCATGAATAATGTTCATATGTACACACCATGCGTCTGAGGTGTCTCCGTAGGAGTGAGCGTTTTAACGTAATTTAGATTTTGTGAACCAGTTCACCAAATTGAGCGAAAAATAACGGAAAAAATTCCTTCCACTAAATTGAAAGTTTTTTATGTCAGATTCCGTTAAATCAAAAGTATACTGTACTTGTATTTTTTCTCGTGTTGCAAAGCAATCGGTTACGAAGCCAAAAGTGTTTGGTTTATGCCGATAAAAACATGTTTTAGGGGGAAGATTGATACAGCAAAACAAGTATTCACCGTGCACTGTCTCCCCTGCATTATATTTCAAAGTCATTGTTTTCGTCACGTTTCAGCAAAACTACTATTTATTTCCGAGAATATATTCATTCAGGCACAGTTAAGGTAAAATATACATGTGATGTAACAGTTTTTTAACTGAAAACGATTCGAGAAACACGTGTACCCTCTAGCTGATTGATACTCAACAGCTGGTGGTGCGTCATGCGTCGTTGTAAACAATAGGAGGTTGAAGTAGATTACCGGGTATTATATTAAGTGTGAAATATCGAAAAGGTTTTTATTACCGGTATTTTTTGTAGATCAATGAGAACTGTGATACCGTATATATGATATGATAAGTTAGCCTGTGCTAAGAACTTCAACATAGACTACTGAAAGCACGTTGTAAGGTAATTTAGCCTATTGTAAGTTGGTGAGCTTCATTTGCTGAAGGAACTGCACAACTTTTCATTACTAATTGGTACATATTTTACGTTTCCATTGTTTACTGGCAGTAAATGGTAAATATTTTTCATGTCTGAAGCTAAAAGTTGCTTCCCCCCCCAACACTAGTGGTGGAGATGTTACATTTAACCAAAAAGACACTGGTGTTTTATCCCAGCAGTGGGTGGACCAGCATTTTAGCTTAAGGTCCGCGTAGGTAATATTCCTACAAATCTAAAAAAAAAAAAAAATTAGTTCAGATTTTGTCCGAATTATCCGAAATCCGGATTAAAGGGGTCCGAATTAACGAGGGTCGACTGTACCTCGCCTTTCTCAACCCCGCTTATTCTCGGTAGATTTTAACACCCCTATTTGATATTTGCAAAGGTTTTTTAGGGGGTTCGGGATTGATGGTTAATCCGAAAGTCGGTTAATCGAGGTTTTACTGTATATAGAGCAAAATATGTGGTGAAAGTTGCCGGCTGGGAACGCATCCCCTCTCTCATTTACATTAATTCTTATGGGAATAATTGCCCCAATATTTCCAATGACATTTAGGAATGCATCCCTTGCTATAATTGAGGTATTCCTGTATGCAGTACAGTACGTGTAGCTGTATAAGACATGGATGTGTACAGTATAGTAATTGTAACAAGACGTATAAATTAGTTTTTAAAATTTTAATTGAAAAATGTGGTGTGTAATAGTGAGTTGGTAATACAAGTGTTTAGTTTGATCACCTTGCCAGGAGAGTTTTGTGATGCATCATACCTAACTTTACCTTCTGTGTGGGAACAGTACAGAGGTGTCCAACAATAGTTTTCATGCTCTATTAAAGTCGTATTATTTGTTGCACACACAAGAAAAATGTAATGAATATATTTGTGGCTTAAGTGTAGTTTTGGTCAAACATAAATATTGAAATAGAAAGTTGTTAGGCTAAACTCTGTTCCTTTACAATTTTATTTGCTCTTGGTTAAGGAAGCATTTTGATTTCACACCTTTCCATCCAATTTTTCTTGTTACAAGAAATTACTGGAATCTCTCACTTGAACTTCTATTATAGTGATAATTTGCATGAGTACTTTATTAATGACAGTTGGAACCCAAGTATGTGTGTGTCTGACCCTAGTGTGAACCCTAGTGTTTGCCAGGTGAGTGTTGGTCACTTGTTTTATTAGAGGAAAATGGTTAAGAATGAAAGTTTTCTTGTGACATGATTCTTACCATAACTTGTGGTAACACCTGTCATAACTGGAGGGTCGTTTGTGATGTTCAGTTTTTATCTTGGGTGCCAGGAGGTGTGCTGGTACTAACGGTGAGCTCCACCCTGGACTGTGTGATCCACTTATACTAAATAGACTTAAATTTAGTTCCACCAGCAGCTCCATTTGAGAATAGACTGAAAGAAATTTATTCTGACGTTTGTATTTTATCTGTACCCTTGTGCAGTAATGGAGTCGGTTTTGTTTTGTTTTTCAACTGTATTCTCGTCTTTTTCTGTTGCTCTGACATTGACCAGCCTCAACATCCTTTCTTACTAATGGATGAGTACACACACACACGGCTGTAAATATGGGTGTATATTAAACAAACTTATCTGCTTTATGTGTGTAGTAGGAGAAGTTTTAAGATGGTTCGCACTAAGATGTGGTTGAGCATGAACTAAGTGTAACACATTAGTAATACTGTATGTGCTTTCAGTTTAATGCTGGTACTTAAGACAATTTCAAAGTGTTGATAATGTGAGGACTGATATAGACAACACTTGTTTTAAAGTACACTACAGTGAAGTATGAGTGAGGTACAGTACTCGCCTCAGGGTTGTGGGCTCATAACACCCTCAGTCCACCCAAATGTTAATGAATACCAAGTTGTATGAGGGCTGTGTGTGTACTCTATTCTACTCCCAAAAACACTGTCCTTCATTTCATTTATTCAAGCAAACATTTTCCATGTCTTCATAGCATTATTTTGATTCACATTCTATAATATTTTACAGTCCATTGTGTAAACTTGTGCTGTCGGTCAAATAAAACAATCTTTACAAAATTGTTAGACAATATGACACGATGGACAAAGGATTTGACATCCATATCGAGGCAACATGAGCTGAACTGTTCATTCTGACCCCCTCCCCTTCAAGACAGTGTTTTTTAGCAACTACAATTTTACTTATTGTCCATAATTTCCTAAATTTGTGTGTGTGTGGGGGAGGTAGGTGTTGTAAATGGTTATGTTGAATGGTTGGATTTATAGGAATACAACACATAATTACAAGTGTACCGGCTCCAGGAAGTAATGATTGTTGGCGATTTATGAGTGTGTATGTACAGTTTATTTATGGGTGTTTACTGTTCATGAGGCTTAACTATTGTGATTTATTTATTTTTTCTCCAAAATTGATGCCAATGTTTGTCCGTGTGTACCGTACTTGCCGCCACAGAAATAAATACAATGTTTTAGGGAGCTGGTGCGTGACGTGGGTGCTGCTGGGGACGTGGAGGCAGAAACAGAAGCTATGCTACTGGAACATGGAATTGATTATGCAGAATTCCCAGACACGGTGTTACAAGACCTTCCATCACTACCTTGGTCTATCCCTCTGCAAGTAAGTTGATTCATTAAAAACTTCATTTACACACAAAATCTTTAGTCTGGGCGGGTGGATGTGAATTAAGCTTGAGTATGTGGAGGTTTGAATGATACTGGTACATGATGAAGCTCTAGATATTCCTCTGGTTGTGGAACCATCTGGGCCTGTCATCTTTAATATGGTGAAAGCTATTCATTGACAGACAGAGGCTGTTGACCCCTTGTTGTATTGCCTCAATGTGTGTATTTAAGTTAGAGGGAGGTGAAATATCTTCATCTTTACTGATGTTCATAAATATAAATGACTGTATTGTAAGGTTATACTTGTCCCTTGCAGGAGATAAAAGCTCGTACAGACTTGAGGGATGAGTGCATCTTCACCATCGACCCTTCAACTGCAAGGGATCTTGATGATGCAGTGTCTTGTCTGCCGCTACCATCGGGGAACTACCGAGTGGGAGTCCACATTGCTGATGTTAGCTACTTCATACCCGAGGGAAGTCAGCTGGATGAGATTGCATCCGATCGTGCCACCAGTGTCTACCTCACACAAAAAGTAAAGTTAATGTTTTTTTTAGTGCAATTATTAATTAGTTGAATAAATCATTGTCCTGTAGATTTATTTATACTGGACATTGGCCACTCATTTTATCATTATACAGTAGGCTCTCGCCAATAACGTTTAATAGGTGCCTGAAAAACACCGTTATTAGTGAAAGCGTTATTTGTGTGACATTAAAATACATGTGAAAAGGGTTTATTGGTGCCGCTGCCACAAGAATTTCACCCATTTTTTCCCCTTGAAGCCCTCCTAACACTTTTTGTTAGCTGAAATAAAAAGAATTGCCATTCAATCATCAAAATAAAGAGTTTGAGTAATATAACACTTAGTTTTTGAGGTGCTTGGTGTGATGATTGTTCCGTATCTGAGGGCCGCTAACACTTGCACTGTCTTTCATTCTACAGGCTAACCATTTCACAAGAAAATGCTCTGTTATCACTAACAACCTGTTTCTATCGCCTTTATCATTCACAGCTCACCTCACATTTCCATCACTACCGAAATATTTTTAGCCAGCACAATACTCTTCTTGGTTTCCTCTAAGTTCCTCTTAATATTTTGCACTGTAGACTCAGGACAGTTCAATTTCCTCACTTTAAAAGTTCCCAGTCATTCAGGTGGCAAATCACTCCCTCCACCACCTCCCCTAGCCCCCACAGGCAAAAATGCGGAAGCCATTATTGATCACCGACCCTAACAACCACTGGTTATAGTGGCGAAAATCTTACACGTGGGCGCAGCGCTGTGTTCCACTGAGCGTGTGTGAGAGTGAGGCGGAGTGGACAACTACGTCATCAACATGGCGGCAAACAAATGCTATCATTGATGCGCTCGGACGCTTCCCGCGAAATTTACATTATTCAAGAGAATCCAGACGTTATTATCGAAAATGGGTATCTATTGTAACTTACCGTTATTGTCGAAAACGTTATTGTGGAAGTCGTTATTGGCGAGAGCCTACTGTAATGTGAGAGAAACAAATTTGTGAATTCTGTTAATTAGAGATTCACTGTTAATTAATTTACCTTCCCTCAACTTAGGCACAATTAACATTTTACACAAATATACGTCACCTTCCATTTACTGCCGGTAAAAACAGATGAAGACACTTCCCTATACAGTAAACCCTCTCCCAACGCAGGGATTAGCTTCCTCTAAAACTGAGTGTTGGGCAAAATCACCTCAGGCAAACTTAACTTCCTATGGGAAAAATGGGGAGGCAGGATTGTGGGTGCATATGGACTCTTATCACATGAAATTCACAAATATGATAATACAGTGGTCCCTCGGTTAACGAACACAATTCGTTCCAGAAGGTTGTTCGTTAACCGAAAACATTGTTTCAGTGGGATTTTGGGTAATTGGTTCCAGCTCACTGAAAATTACATACAAAGAAAAAAATAATGCAGTAAAGTACACTTACTTTGAGGTGTGTATGTACAAGGCTCCTGGTTGATGATGATGATGTGAATTTGAAGTGGGAGGAGGAGAAGGGAGAAGAGAAGGAAGTGGGGGTGGAGGAGAAGCATTTTACTGCTTCTTTTGGAAGGCGAGTCACCTTCCATAAAAATTTCAGGAACCTCTGGACTGACAGATTCTCCAGCAGGAAAATCCTCTTTCCTTTTTGAAGTGGAAGGCTGAGGGGTAGCATCTTTCTCCCGCTGCCTTTTAGTGAAGAAACTGTCAATTTTTGGTTGTGGAGCATTTCTTCTCATCATCATTAACTGCTTTTTGAAGGAGGAGACCACTGTGTCCTCAACATTGCATAAAATAGGTTCTGTTGTTTCCAAATCAGGGTGCCTTGAAGCAGTTTCCTGAACATCTCCCAGTGGTGAACATCTTTTAAATCTGAAGAAGACATATGGTCATCACTTTCCTTTTCCTCCTCACCACTGTCAGTTTCTAACATCTCATCCAGTTGCTTCAAGTCTTCAGGAGTAAGTTCCTGCTCATGAGACATCACAAGCTCTTCCACATCATCATCCTCCACTTCGAGGCCCAATGATTGACCAATGGACACAATCTCCTGGTCCAACTCTGTTTCTTCATCAAATCCCTCAAAATCATGGACTGCTGATGGCCACAGTGCTTTCCATGTAGAATTCAGGGACACAATTAATTTTTCAGCCTCCAGGATGTTCCAGAACTGTGCCAGTGATAGATCAGGATCAGTGGAAGTTGCCTGATGATGCCTTCTGAACATTTTCTTCATGTACAGCTTCTTAAAGTTGTTGATCACATTCTGGTCCATTGGCTGCATAATTGATATAGTGTTTGGGGGGCAAAAACAACACTGACAAGCTCAGGGAGTTTATTGATGGTTAGGTAGCTCTTCACAGAAGGGCAAAACACCTCAACAGCCCATTCATTAAAGAGCTGTCTTGTTACCCATGTTTTACAGTTGGACTTCCAATAAACTCCAAGTTGTCCTCTTACCATCTTTTGTTGCTTGAACACCCTGGGATTTTTAGAGTGGTAGACAAGCATAGGCTTCAGTCGGCAATCCCCTGAAACATTATCACCAGGCAATAGAGTGAGATGGTCCTTCATGGGTTTATGCCCTGGTAAAGAAGCTTCATCTCTGGTGATGATGTCCTTTTGGGCATTTTCTTCCAAAACAGCCCAATTTCGTCCACATTGAACACTTGCTGTGGAAGATCATTTTCTTCATCCACCAGTTCCTTAAACTCCACTAAAAAAAATTCTGCTCCTTCTTTATCTGCACTGGCAGCTTCACCATGCCTAATAACACTAAAAATGTCACTTCTTTTCTTAAATTTTTCGAACCAGCTCTTGTTGGCCCTAAACTCTTCAAACTCTGTGCCACAAGAACTAGGTTGCTCTTTCTTCAAATGTTCGTAAATTTCCCTGGCTCTTTTACAAATAAATTCAGTCGAAATTGAATCTTCTTTCGTTTGTTTTTCCTTTATCCAAATGAGAAGTAACCTCTCTGTTTCTGAAATTAAGGATCTACCTTTAAACACACTGGTAGATTTGTCTCTCACTTTCACTTCCTTAAACTTGTCTTTCTGCGAAAGAATTGTCGACACAGTTGATACCGACATGCCATATTCTTTACTAAGCACATTTTTTCTAATGCCTTCTTCATGTTTCTTAATGATTTTCTGTTTCACCTGGATTGAAATTGCCTTTCTAGATTTCTTTGGACCCATGCTGGATTCAATAACAATTTCACCACTAAAATTTTAAGTTTAATTGCTGTAAATAAAGATTATTTTCTTTAAATCAACACTGCACTGGACTATATATTATCAATATGTTAAATAAGTTTCAGAATGACCAATAATTGTTCTGTAAAAACAGTTTATGTTCAAGAGAGCCACAAGCAAGATGTTACCTCCACTGAACAGACACACAAACAGATTCCTTGGTGGGTGAGTGAAGTGGCTGATGGGCGCACCAAAAACTAGTTCCCTGTACTGCCATTATGTTAAATAAGTGTTAAAATGATTAATAATTTGTATATAAAACTTGGAAAAATATTTAATAGCACAACCTTCTTGGTATTTACTCAAATGGGAACGAATGTAATGCCCTAGAACCGATTACTGTATTGGTGGACTACTCTTCCAGCTGGTGAGCAAGCGAACATGTTGACATGTTTTCGTAAGAATTTCGTTAACCGAATTTTTGTTCGTTAACCGAAATGAAGATTCTTATTGAAGGTATTTCGTTAACCGAGGGACCACTGTACAGTAGAACTATAAAAATTAATAATAATCATAATAGAATCATATTGCTGTATTCTCCGATCAATGGTTAGATGTTTGTAGCATAACTATGATGGCAATATAGTAGATTTTGTGAAGCCTTCCGATGACGGTGAGTAATGAAGACTTTGATGATGATGAAACTGGAATGATTTTTAGTTCTTAAGCCGATGGGTCATCAGGATCTTCGTCTTCAGGCTCCAGATAGGCAGAGGATGTTGATGGTTGGGTCAAGTGGTGCTACACTCACTTCATCACGTAGCTGATCTAAAATCTTTATTTTCTCGGTTAATGTCATCACTTTTCTGCGTTTGCGGGTTATACTGTAAGGGCACAAAGTTCCCAAGCCTCTTTAGTACAATGTTGGCGGTACTAGTTGTAAGCAAGACTGGCGGGCATCTCCAACTGGTGCGTGGCTGAGGCAGTGTGGAGGTGGTGCATTGTTAACTCGCTTATATTCAAATAATCCATTTTGGGCAAATTATTTGGTCATATTTAAATGTATATAGTCAAAATTGTGTTGGACAAATCAGCATTGGGTGAGGGTTGACTGTATAGTAATTAACAAGTGAACGTGGGCTCTTCGTGCCCGGTGAAAGTTGGAACGCTTGTGCTTGGCTCGCGTACAGCGAATGAGGGTGCGCCAAGTCTGTAGACTTGTGGGGGTGCACCAAGTCCGTAGACTTGCATCGTTTTCCGTCGTAAATAAAATGGTTAATTAATGCCTTCCTAAAGAAACCGTCGACATGGTACCAGGTTTGTTCCACTCTATGAATTTTTTGCGATTTTTCCACCAAGTTTGATGAAAAACGGTTGTCATTTTGGCTGCCCAGAACAGACACACAGACGGATGGCTATTCCTATACAGTGATCCCTCGGTTAACAAAATTTCGGTTAACAAATTACCTTCCATAAGGTTCTTCACTTCGGTTAACGAGCAATCCCTCGATTAACGAATTCTTTATGAGCGCCCCTCAACATGTTTTCGCTTGCTCATTAGCTGTAGTATTAGTCAACCAATACAGTAATCGGTTCTAGGGCTTAAATTCCTTACTATTTTAGTAAATATCAAGAAGTTTGTACTATTCAATAATTTTAAAAGTCTTATATTAAAATTTTTAGTGTTTTTAACAGTTATTTAACATAATTGAAGTACAGGGAAACTAGTTTTTAGCGCACCAAACAGCCACTCAACACACCAAACAGGCGTCAGTCTCTCTTTTCAGTGGAGGTAACATCTTGCTTCAGACTCTCTTCAGCATAAACTATTTTTTCCATTTTTACACTGAAATTATTGGTCATTTTAAAATGTATTTTACATATTGATGATATATATAGCGCAGTGCAGTGTTGATTTAAAGAAAATATTCTTTATTTACAACAATTAAACTTAAAATTTTAGTGTTGAAATTGTTTTTGAATCCAGCATGGGTCCAAAGAAATCCAGAAAAGCGATTTCAATACAGGTGAAACAGGAAGTTATTAAGAAACATGAAGAAGGCATTAGAACAAATGTGCTTAGTGAAGACTATGGCATGTCGACATCAACTGTGTCGACAATTCTTTCACAGAAAGACAAATTCAAGGAAGTGAAAGTGAGAGACAAATGTACCAGAGAGGTTACTTCTCATTTGGATTAGGGAAAAACAATTGAAAGGTGATTCAGTTTCGACCGAATTTATTTGTGAAAGAGCCAGGGAGATTTACGAACATCTAAAGGCAGATCAACCTGGTTCTTCAGGCACAGAGTTTGAAGAGTTTAGGGCCAGCAAAGGCTGGTTCGAAAAATTTAAGAAAAGAAGTGACATTTTTAGTGTTATTAGGCATGGTGAAGCTGCCAGTGCTGATAAGGAAGGAACAGCAAAATTTGTAGTGGACTTTAAAGAACTGGTGGATGAAGAAAATTGTCTTCCACAGCAAGTGTTCAATGTGGACGAAACTGGGCTGTTCTGGAAGAAAATGCCCAAAAGGACATTCATCACCAGAGATGAAGCCTCTTTACCAGGGCACAAACCCATGAAGGACCGTCGCACCCTATTGCTTGGTGCCAATGTTTCAGGGGATTTCCGACTGAAGCCTATGCTTGTCTACCACTCTTGAGATCCCCAGGGTGTTCAAGCAACAAAAAGTGGTAAGAGGACGGCTTGGAGTTTATTGGAAGTCCAACCGTAAGGCATGGGTGACAAGACAGCTCTTTAATGAATGGGCTGTTGAGGTGTTTTGCCCTTCTGTGAAGAGCTACCTAACCACCAATAAACTTCCTTTAAAGGCTCTTCTCCTTATGGATAATGCCCCTGGTCATGACCCTCAACTTGCCAGCACTTTGGAGTCTCAATTTGACTTTGTCAAAGTGTTGTTTTTGCCTCCAAACACTACATCAATCATATAGCCAATGGACCAGAATGTGATCAGCAACTTTAAGAAGCTGTACATGAAGAAAATGTTCAGGTGTCATCAGGTAACTTCCACTGATCCTGAACTAACACTGGCACAGTTCTGGAAGACACAATTTAATATCCTGGAGGCTGTAAAATTGATTGTGTCCTCATGGCAAGAAGTCTTCACTAGATCCCTCAATTCTGCATGGAAAGCACTGTGGCCATCAGTAGTCCATGATTTTGAGGGATTTGAGGAAGAAGCAGAGTTGGACAAGGAGATTGTGTCCATTGGTCAGTCAATGGGCCTTGAAGTGGAGGAGGATTTTGTGGAAGAGCTTGTGATGTCTCATGAGCAGGAACTTACTCCTGAAGACTTGAAGCAACTGGATGAGATGTTAGAAACTGACAGTGGTGAGGAGGAAAGGGAAAGTGATGACCATATGTCTTCTTCAGATTTAAAAGATATTGTTCACTACTGGGAAAAGGTCAGGAAACTGGCTTCAAGGCACCCTGATGTGGAAAAAGCAGAACTTGCTTTGTGTAATGTTGAGGACACAGTGGTCTCCTTCAAACATCAGTTAATGATGAGGAGAGATGCCCCACAACCAAAAATTGACAGTTTCTTCACTAAAAGGCAGCGGGAGAAAGATGCTAGCCCTCAGCCTTCCACTTCGAGAAGGAGAGAGGATTTACCTGCTGTAGAATCTGTCAGTCCAGAGGTTCCTGACATTTTCATGGAAGGTGACTCACCTTCAAAGAAGCAGTAAAATGCTCCTCCTCTACCTCCACTTCCTTCTCTTCTCCCTTCTCCTCCTCCACCTCCCACTTCAAATTCACATCAGCATCATCATCCAGGAGCCTTCTACATACACGCCTCAAAGTAAGAGTACTTTACTATCTTTTTTGTTGACTTTATGCAATTTTCGGTGAGCTGGAACCAATTACCCAAAAACCCATTGAAACAATGGTTTCGGTTAACGATTTTTCGGTTAACTAGCAACCTTCTGGAACGAATTGTGAATTGTGCTCGTTAACCGAGGGACCACTGTAGTATATTAGATACCTGGTGTATGTATTGGAACAGTGCTCTGCTTGTTCCTTACAAAGCTGGTGCTTTGGACTCCCAGACCAACACACATAGGTTTATACCTGTGCCAGGCAAGACTGGTGGGTATTATTGTTCTTACAGTAACCATCCAACACAGAGTGTCAAGTGTCTGTTTCAGATTAGATCACACTTTGATATAGTACAAGTGTTTCATAAAAAATTGTAGACGTACGTACATTCAGTAGGACCCGAGAGGGGGATTGTTGTATTGGGATGCATCATTTCTCTCTTGTATATAAAAGATTGTTATTATTAATGTAACATTTATACCTTTTCAGGTGATTCCCATGTTACCAAGGGTCCTCTGTGAACATCTATGCTCGTTGAATCCAGGAGAAGATCGTCTGGCATTTTCAGTTATATGGGAACTTCGTCCAAACGGTGAAGTGGTCGGCGAATGGTTTGGCCGTACCGTTATACGATCGTGTCTAAAGTTGGCTTATGAACATGCACAGGGTATGATTGAAAATCCAGATAAAGAATGGTCCAGTGAAGAGATTCCAAAAATTACTGGACCTTATACTTGTCGTGATATAAGCAAGGTAGTCAATAATCTTCAGTCAATTGCAGTAAAGCTTAGGAAAAAAAGGTTTCAGGATGGTGCTTTACGACTTGATCAGGTCAAAATTGCCTTTAATCTTGACGACGAAACCAAAGCGCCAAATGGTTTTTATGTAAATGAGATGAAGGACAGCAATAGACTCATAGAAGAGTTTATGTTGCTTGCAAATATGGCTGTCGCTCACAAAATTTTTAACAGTTGCCCAAAACTTGCTGTTTTGAGGCGTCATCCTCCTCCATTGGAGAACCCCATGGAATGGGCTGCTAATAACCTTAGAGCAGTAAATGTATGTCTAGATATATCTAGTGCTGGTGCACTTAACAAGTCAATTGCACAATATGTTGGTAATGATAAATACTCCATTGGGAGACTTCAAGTTATTACATCAATGTGCAGTAAACCCATGCAATTTGCACGATACTTTTGTTCAGGATATTTATCAGAGGAGCCTCTTTTCAAGCATTATGCACTCAATGTGCCTCTCTACACTCACTTTACCTCTCCAATTCGTCGGTATGCGGACTTGATGGTTCACCGCGTCCTTGCTGTAGCCGTGGACCCGGCCAGGTACAGCCCACCGGCGAGAGACTCGGGGACCATTCACAGGATATCCGAACACTGTAATGACAAAAAACAGTCGTCAAAGATCTTACAAGAATTAAGCAGTGAACTTTACTTATCTCTGTTTATTAGGCAAGTCAAGGACTTGGTAGAAGAGGGAATGGTCACTATGGTGTTGGATCGTGCTTTTGATGTACTCGTGCTAGAGTTGGGGATCATAAAGAGAGTGTACACTGATAAGCTTCCTCTTGACTCCCTGCAGCACACAAAGGAAAGTGGAGTGGGAGCCTTGACTCTAACTTGGAAAGCTACAAATGACAAAATTCAAATAAGGCAAGAGATAAACCTCTTCAGTCTCGTGAGGGTCTCTCTCCAACCCTTGGAAAATGACGCCCTCAAGTTTCAGGCCGTTCTTTTACGACCTTCTTAATTATTAAACCGTTGGGGTTTATTTTTTATCGAGCGTTCCGTCTGAACGGCGATGATTTTTGTTGTCCGTCCGTCAGTCTGGGTTTTTATACACCCGTGGCGTCCATATTATCCTGAAATTGGTCATTTGAGGAGAGGCTCTTAGTGTTGCTTGGAGCCCAATTTTTTATTTACAATATTGGATAATTTTTACATCAATCAATGTAGGGTTTTACCATTTGTCTTTTTCTTTTTAGCTTACTTATAAAATGATCAGCAGGGATATTTTAAACTCTAGAAAGTGACACTTTAATAAATTTAAGTTTTTTAGTTGAGTTTTCCCTCCCTCATGTACTAGTACCTGACAACAATGTGGCTCAGAACACTTATTATACATTTTGCAAGATGGTTATTGTTTGTAACAAGAGGTTTGATGGCTATAGGTTCTTCAATCACCCTGTATGGATTACTGGTGTAAGCACAACGTATGGTGTTCTGTTTTGACAGAGTTAGATTGATAAGAAAAGAAACTTAAGAAATATTTTACCAGTTAAGCATCATACTCTACATGTAACTATAACACCATGACTTATTTAGTGTTGAGACAATATGCTCTTGGCTTAGCCTAGCTCGATCAGAAGGTACTTGTCTACCTCAGGTAAATTGAGGAATACAATATATATTTTGCATTTATCTCTTGTTATTCAACCACAGTTTGCTAAAATTACTGTGTTACAATTGTTATGAGGTGTGTGGATATATAATTTATGGTATTAGTTGATAACTTTTTAATTCCATTGAAGGAAAGCTATGAACAGTTTTGTATGAAATTTATAGTGTCTTGCATCTTTAAATTTTGAAAATCTTCTGGACTCTTGTGTTTATGTAAAAACAAAAATGTGATATTGCAACCTTTTTTATTAAATAAAATGGTCATATCATTTGTATTTTTATAACCTCCACTTTTTTATTTTTTACATATGAACCATTTAGTAACCTGAAACGAATTACTTCTTAGTAACATTGTAACAGTATGCCACAGTAATGGGAAGAACATAATATCTACCAACTGTGTATCTGTTGAGGTGACTGTTACCCTGAATATAACAGTTGCTTGTGAAACTGTCATGTGTAACAACCTTCCTGGGTTGTCACCACTTGTAACAATCACTTGTGAAGCATGTTACCTTATATTTTAGACATACTAAAATATAGATTAAAGTTTATTGGAATTAGTAGTGAAATCCAATATGTTCCTTATCTGTGTTTATTTAAAAGGTTTCTATTTACACTTTCAAAAAGTGTATCACTGCAACTTAATCACTGGGGCTATGAGTGTTAAATGAGGATGGAGGCTATGTTATAGTAGCTCTTTTAAGTACATCCTGTCGATTCGAGAGTGAGTAGGAACCCATCGAGGGAGAACGGAAAAATATCCGACGTCCTCCCTCGAGGGAAGACGGAACCATCCATGATGGCTCTCAATAACGTCTTCCTCTCGTCAGGGTTATCAAACTACTGCCGCAATAGGTGGCCAGGGAGCTGGTCACTTAATGCTTAACTCGACACTAAGTGACGTGACTTCCCGTGGGCACACCTTAACACGTGCTCTGAAATTGCTACCTCATAGCTAGTGGAAAGTTACAGAGGGTGATTGAGTATATAAGTAACGTAGTTAACTTATTTATATAAATACCTCTGCCTATAAGACGGGGGCTACTACCAGTGACTACTGTGTGGTTCATTCTCTTTCTTAAAGCATGCCTCCTCTCACATAGGGACTATCATTGCTTACATCTACAACTCTTAAGTTGGATGCAGGGGTGGGTTATGGGTTGGTCTTTCCAGATTCTGTTGGGACGATAGTCTCCCCATCATGGTATCTAATTTTACGGCAGAGCTTTCGGGTAATTTACTTTCCCTCAATATTATTTTTACCCAACTATCAAGGGTTTAGATGTTAATGCCCTCTGGTTCTTTTAACGATTACTGTCTGGATATTGAACAAGATTATGAATATTTATAACAAAAGATGTCTATTTACAAGTACTTACACTGATAATCAGCATGAAGACAGTACAGAGCAACATAAACATGTGAGGTATGGCAATGCCGGTCAGAACAACTGTCGGGAGTGAAGACGCTGGGTCTGAAGCTGGGGTCTTGTACATCAACACAGCACAGGTGGTAAAATGGCATCTTCTCAACAACTTCACAAGAGAGCAAGTATCCTCCTAACTGGCACAGGTCTTGGTAATGGACCCAGGAGGAACAGCACAGAGGCTAGGGCTGACAGTGTCTTAGCTGGCATGCTGACACACAAGGCTATGGGTGCAGCAGTTCACACCAACGTGACCATGGATAAAAAGCTGCAACAATTTAGAATAGATTGTATTGTCTAATTATTTTATTAGTAACTGTCAGCATGCTATTATATTTGCACAATTTATACTCACTAAGTTGTACATACTGTACATAGTAATTAACAAAAATTACACAAGGCGGCATCCTTAAAACACAAATACAACATAAGTCGAGAAAGTCGTAAGTCTCTCCGACTTACGACTACCCGCACTTACGACCTGCCTCAGTCGTACCAAAATTTTGTCAAATTACGTATTTTCAAGAACCAACGTCAGTGATTGCGCTGTGTACAGTACTGACAAAATTTTCGTTTGTAATTCACTTTAAAATGGCTGGCAAGCTTAAAAGTGAGTTTTGTGGTGCTGAGAAGAAAAAGAGACACCCATTTTTGACTTACGACCTGGATTTGGGTCCCTAACCCCGCCGTAAGTCGGGGAGGAGCTGTAACGCCATAGGAACCATAAACCAAAAACGATAATATGGAATGCTTACAGGCAGCAGGTGGACCAACTGGGTTAAGAGGGAACCAAGTGACCAGCTATATGGTTACACGTCGCATTATGACTTGGTTCTAACTACCCATGAGCAACACCTGCTTCAAATACAGAGAACAAACCCAACACTGAACAATAACAAACCCAACACTGAACAATAATAAACAAACCCAACACTGAACAACACTAACAAACCCAACACTGAACAACACCGTTCCAACATTCATTGGACTGGAATATGAACCCCTTACACCAACCTCATAGTGATTTTACAATTTTAGCGATTCTCGTCTTGCTCTACAGAGCCTGAGCTATTGTCTCATCGCCCCAGCCCTTAGTTAAAGTTATTTTACAGTGGCTGTTTCTCATCCAACGTTGGGGCTAGAAAGTCAGTTTTTGCTGGGTTTCAGCCCATGTGGGGGAGCAGGGAAATGAGTGTCTTGATGCTGTGGTGAAAGCAGCTGCTTCTCACCATGTGGCACATCATTCCCCTCTACCTGCCTCCGATATGAAGCCAGTACTAAGAGTTGCCATCCGCTCAAGTTAGCATTGCAGGTGGGATGGTGTTGGCACAAACAAGCTCTGCAACAGCCACCCTGCACTGGGTGGCTGGGGATATTAGGGACTGTCGCACTGCTGGGAGACTGCTTTGACCTGCCGTAAATTGGCAACACACAGGTTACTCATGGTTTTTAATGGAGAGGGCGCCTGGTAACATTGACTGTTCCACACCTGCTGGTGGAGTGCCCCGGTCTCGTTCGTCGTAAGTGTATAATATTATACAGTAAGCACCTCTCCAAATGGCGAGGGGAGGGGGGGGGGGGAAGATGGGTCTTGCCTTCACTCTTTGGTGCTGGGGAGGGGACGTCCTCTCTTTCATGGAGGATGCCACCTTCTACATAAGCATTGAGTTTTATTTTATTTTTTTATTATTATTATTATTATTATTTTTTACGTGTAATAACCCACCCGGGCACAGGTCATCGACCCACAACCGAGCCAAGGGGGTGAAAAAATAAGAGTAAAAAGAAATTAAAAATAGAAAAGAGAAAGATCCAAATTTGTTCATTAACTTATCATCTTACGAGCGCTACAGACAAATGAGAAACTTGTGCTTGGTTTTGGTAGAAAGTATTCTCTTGATCAGTGCACCATTAAACCACTTTACTAATGCTAAAGGTATGATCAAACTGGAAAAGAAAGAGTCGATAGATGTTACAAATGAAGATATTTTCATTGCTTAAGGTTGTATACATAATGTTTAATGTAAGAAAATGGTCTCAAACATTCCAAAAAGATTTGAAACAGCCTTGAAAAAGCTTGAGAAGTAATGAGAATATCCATACAGGTATTACTAAAGCCGATAAGTCCAATGCTATTGTAATTTTGGATAAAAGCGACTGTAATGATAAGATGAATTCTTTACTTAGTCATGACAGCACTTATTGTGAGCTTACAAAAGATCCCCTGCAAAATATTAATAAGTTATCTAACTCTAAAATGAAGTTGTTATTGAAAAATAACCCCGATCTTTTTTTTTTTTTACTTTACTTTTATCCTCTGCTTGGGCAATCGGTCACGTCTCTGTTACGCACTCTTGGCAAGTACTGGGCATGAACTGGCTCCTGAAAGTAAACCTGCTCCAGTGTTGGTCAAGTCTGGCCATGAAAGAGCTCACACTCGGTATCGCTACACTTGCTGGCAGATTGTTCCAAGAGTTCATAATTCTCACTCCTACACTTAAGAATATTTTGACTACCTTATCGCAATGAATTTATCCCTTAAATTATTAAACATTAATGTTGTTTTTTAAATATGACTCAACTATTACTACTATGTTAGTTAAGAATAGCCCAATCTCTCTTGAATGTAAATGAAAGTGTTTACTGCATTCCATGTAGCAATTGTAATGGAAATTATGTAGGTCAGACTGGGAAAGCATTGTAACTTAGAATAAAACAACATAAGTATAATGATAGAACGGCATCTGAAAGCAGTGTACTGTTCGTTCATATAAGGAACAATAATCATCCCATAGATTGGGAAAACAGTTTAGAAGTGTATAAATCATCATGTGTCACAGAAAGACTTCTGGTTGAAGCAAGTTTGATTAGGGAAATGAATTCTTTAAACCCGAGTGATGGTCAGTACAAAACTAATAATATGTTACATAAATTTATTTGTCAGTGGCCTAAGGTTAAAAATGCTTTGAAAGCCTTTGAGGTGGATGTATGATAGATGATTAGTGGGTCTCATATTTTGCCCGGACTTGACATGACTAGTTAAGTCGCCCATTTTTATAGGCTCATCTTATGTTTGTGGTGGTGTGTGGATTAGTGGATCTCATGTTATTGACCGTACTTGATGTTTTTTAAGGTAACCCTGTGTATATAAGCCTCTTAAACCCAGTAAATTCAGTTGCCTCTGAATATGTCTTGAATAAAGACAAAAGCTAAGGTGCTCCATTGTTTCCCTTTTCCTGTGTGAATGAATATACTGTAAAGATATATATATATATATATATATATATATTCCCATTTTCTTTAACATGTCTATAAGTTTAGTAATACTTTGGTGATCAAATTAAACAATCTCATGATCAGAAATATATCATTGTTCTTTGCATTGTACATTGATTTTATATAAAAGGGTTTTTTCTTCACAAAACAGTGACTTACAGACTTGGCAACTTCCTCAACAAACATCACATTAAGAGTGTGAAGTGACACAGTTCTTACATAGTAGTATTCAACTTTTACACATAAGTGCAATATCTGCACATAAGCAGTGTCCACATGTAAGTACAGCTTCTGCACAAAAGTACAGTATGGGCACATAAGTACAGTATCAACACATAAGTACAGTATTGGCACATAAGTACAATATCTGCACATAAGTACAGTATGCATACGTAAGTACAGTATTTGCACATATATGCAGTATCTGCACATAACTACAGTATTCATACAAATGTATGGTATCCGCACGTACGTACACCGACTCCTGTGTAAAGATATCCTAGCAATACTCTTGGTACAAGTGCATCAACAACCAGACGTGCACGAGACTAACATAGATGACTAGATCTGTTCCTGGTCGTCTTTTGTCTATACAATTATTGTTTGATCCTTAGGTCAACTGGTGATCCAGTATACAGAAGTGGATGAATTTTCTGTGTCTTTGAGAGATGCATAGGTCATTATCATCTTTATTTTTAACTAATTTCTCCGCCAACCACCCCCAGAAGAGGAATTCAAAGTGACTAGATGGTACTGAGGATTCAAAGGCTGAGCAATACTTAGGGCGGTGAAGGTACAGTACTTGGAAGGCACCACGAAGAGAATAGTAAAGCCTCCACACATCATGGGGAGGCTCTAGAGTTACACAAACGTTTCTGGCTCTGTAGGGTCTGAGGCAATGATCTCCCAGCGCTTCCAAAGTTGCGTTTGACCCTCTCCAGAAGGCTGGGGCTCATTTGTAATTGACCCACTTAGGTCTGGCAGATGCCCTGTCACGTGACGTTCTCCCGTGTACCTCCGGCGGACGTAGCGACGGCCTCCTGACTCTCGCTGAGGCCGGCCCTCTCGAGCTGCCTCATCTGCTCGACTGCCTCGTCGATTGACTATCCCACCCTCACCAGAGTCAGGGTTCGTCACCCCAATGTCACTCGGGTACATCTCCACCTTGATGCTGTCTGCAGTTTTTGAGCGACCTATTGGAAAAAGACCTTGAGAGACAGCTATTGGGGATGCTCTGGTTTTTGGTGTGGTTGGAGGTTTTGAGCCAAAGGTGTGAGTGACTGAATGAGCAAGAGGATTGTTCCGCAAATCTCCTCTACGTCTGGGATGTAGAGGAGGAGAGTTTGGTGGTGAGAGCCCTGGAGTCCCAGAGTCTGGACTGAGCCAGTGAGGGGGTGACCCAGGTCTGCTGAGAGGTGAGGATGTGCCTGAGGCATATAGATCAGAGAGAGGAGTGTTGCGGGGTGAAGGTGAGAGCGTGAACACATCAGCTGAGGATGAAGAGAGGACAGAGTCATGGCTCTGCTTGTCGCCACCCTTCTTGGTAAGAGGCTGGAAACTCATGGTGCCGGTGATGGGTTGTCCCAGATATGAGTCACTGCTGCCCGATCGTTGACGAGTTACATCACTCCGTTGAGAACCACTTCCTTTATATGGAGACGACCGATGGCGGTTTTTTTTCTCCTCACCATCTTCAATATATGGAATTTCAGAATCTTGTGTGAAGGACAACGGCCCTCCTTGACTTAAAGGCACTGGGATACGTAACGAAGCAGTTATCACTCCAGAATTATCAATCTCGGGTGATGACAACCTCCGCACTGTGGGTTCTGGGACACGTAATCGTTCCTGAGTACTTATGTGTTCACTAGGGCGATGTCCTCCCCACTCATCCTCACCCTCCCCTGACACTCGTGGCCCCAAGGTTTCTACTTTCTCTATTGTTGTCTTTCGACTCTTCCCTCCAGTATCCCCTCCCCTTCTTCTATCAGTTCCTGATGCTGAAGATTCATCTCTGTTTTTGTTTTTTTCACGCTGTCGACGATCAGACTCCTCCCGTCGCATGTTTCTATCCTCGGAGCCTCGGGAAGAACTCTTGTCTCGTTTCCTAAACCACCTTGACTTTTCTGGTTGTCGTTCCTCACTAGTGCGGTCCAACTCACGGGAAGAACTCTTTTCGCGTTTCCTGAACCAGCCTCGCTCCTCACTGCCTGACGACGCGGGTACCTCTCCTGTCTTGTCCCGTCGTCTGCCTCTACCGTCATCCTCCTCCTCAGCGTGGCGTCTGCAAACAACTCAAGACATTCAACATGTATCAATCCTCTGCCTCATAAGTAGTTTAAATATTGACAAAATGTACAACTGATAAAAGATGGATACGTTGCTTAGAAAATGGGAACAAAATCCCAGTTAACGGCAGTGATTTTTACACCATCACACTCTAAGAGGCTTGTGGAAATGGATTTTTTGAAGGGGGCAATTTCTATAAGATATTTTACATGGAATTATAATTTTCTAAAGAGGCCCTTCAGGATTTTGACATCAGGCAGGAAGGTCTCTGAGCTCCACACACTACACTATCAATGACTTACCTTCTGCCAGACTGCTCAAGCACAGCCACAGCAGCACCCTCATGAACCACCTCCTCTCGCCGCCTCACTCGCGCCCCGTCACTCTCCTCCAGGCTCATGCGCATCCTGCGAGGGAACCCAGCATGAAATAACACCTCAAGTACACTCAAATATATATCTCACTTAACATCACCATAACTGAGGTGCTCTGGGGGAGAAGTAGACAACGGGGGAAAAAGCCAGAAATCGCCCAGACCGTTTTATATGTATTCTAAGTAGCTTTAGTGATGGCATCTCCTTTTATAATAGTCACCTCAGGGATTCAGTACCCAGTCTGTATTTACTAAATGCTCAGGTAGAAGGATCAGAGAGACTGTGAAGAGTGTGTTGATGAAGGTGGTGGGCCTTTTGAGATCACCTAAAGATCAGCCCCCAGCTTATTTCACCTGATGATTAAACATGCTACCTGGGTGGGTTATGTTATGTTGAGTTATTATTAGGTTTGGTTAGGTTAGGTTAGCATTAGGGTGGTTAATCTTAAGGTGAATTAAGATGAGGCTAATATTCCGGTAATGTGGCTTTTGTGTTCAAAACTCACCACATAAATGGAAAAACTACAGTAACTGCAAATGGTGAAACCAACACTGATAAGTTCTAAAGATGAATTTATGTCGAAGTTGATAACCTCATATGTCACCCTGTCCTTGCTCTGTGGTGCTTTATCACATCTTCCCTTCGGGATGTCAGGAATGTAGATTGGTGAGAAGAAGGGGATAGGGAGGTGGCAAACTTTCTGATAGCTCCAAACTCAGGGAGGGTAGGGGGGGGGGCTCCCTGCCCCTCTGTTTGGGAGTTCACAAAAATCTATCTTGGGTCTCGCCCTTAAGCATCTCAAGGTTGTTATGTAACAAACGTACTGTCTCACTCTAAAAGGTTAACATTCACACATCTGTCAGAAGTGTATAACTAGTTGTGTGCCTCTGTTTGTCTTACATATACAGAGAAAACTTCTGAAACATTGATATCGGAATTTTTGAAGACTAACCGATCAAAGTCGTGATGGTGTGTGGCATCAGTCGGGGAGCGTGGCAGGGAGGACGAACATTCGCTGCCCTCAAACACACTGCTGCTCGTGTCCACTTCCAGATCCAGCCTGTCATTGGAAGGAATCTTTGTTAACTTCCCAGTGATATGCTGCGGGAATGGAGAGGGGGTGCATATAAGTGGGGAGAAAGAGAGAGAGGGGAGTGTATGGAGACAAAATGTAGAGAATAGAAAGGGAGTGTGAGGAGTAATGAAGAGATGAAGGAGCAAGGACCGGAAAAGAAAGGGTGAGAGGAAGTATTGGGTGAGGAGAAGAGAAGAGTGAGAGAAAGTTGTTGGCTGAGGGGAGGAGCACACATAATAAGAGTTGTTAAGGATGGCGAGGGGCTGTGCTAACCACAAAGGTAGTACGTATGGGGTAATGCAGTACAAGGTAGACGAGGAAGGATGTAATGAGTGTTAAGAGTCAGGTTGGAGTGGGAGAGAGGGATTGTGGGGTAGCAGAAAATGAGAAAAAGTACAACATAATAGAAGCGTGAGAGATAAGGGAACAAATTGCAGACAAGGAAAAATAGTGATAACACAGGCAAAGCAAGAGAGAGGAATGGAACAAGTTGAGAGAGCAGACCAACACACACAGCATGAGAACAATTAAATAATGGGCTTCATGGGCAAGTGAATAAAGTACTGTAGGAACACACTGATCTCTTGTGTAATGTTGTGACACTGGGATAAACATTATTATAGGTTACGGTAAAATCCGTCATGATATGGAGCAACATTCAAGTTCTTTATGAATTGTTGAGTTAAGAATAATCTTATTTCTGGAGTTCAGAGTCTCAAGATGACTACTACAACTCTAAAATAAAATAGTACATAATTATATTTAAGGGATAACTAGAAACGAATATTCATGAATCAAATACAAATATGAATGAAATGGTGATCAGTGTACAGCAGCTGCCAACACTATAACAATAACAAGTACTATTGGAGCACACTGGAACTATATAACTGGAAATATAATGAAAATTCAATATTACAAAGTGGGAAAAATGTGTGAGCTCACAAACTGTATATTTACACAGGAGATAGGATGCAGAGATTCAGTTCAGTTCAGTGAATACTCTGTACTATGAGCAATGACCATCGTAGAGAAACTGCAAAGATACTGAATGATAAACATCTAAGCCAATTTTGGGACCACCTGAAGATTAGCCCCAGATTATTTCACCTGATGATTAAACACCCTAATGTTACCTGGAAGGGGTTAGGTTAGGTTCGGTTCGGTAATGTCAGATTAAGTCACGTTAGGGTAGGTTAGGTTAGCGTTGTGGTGAAATAAGCTGAGCGGGGCTAATTCTGGTGATCCCCAGAATTATGAAGGTAAAAGTTTAAAAGCCACACACCAAGTACTGTATATAATAAATTAATTATGCATGACTATGATTGAACCAAAAAATAAATTTTAACCCATAATATGGAAGAAATTATCAATGGTTTATACAACATTAATTCAGGAAGTGTAAATATATATAAGTGACAGCGTACAGAACAAATTTTAACCACATGTACAATTAAAACTTAAAAGATAAAGAAAGGTTTTTAATTTATTTTTTCTTTTCTTTTATCCTGTTCACCACTGATCGGTTCGTTAGCAGCTTGGGCGGTCGGTCACGTCTCTGTCACGCATTGTTAGCAAGTACTGGGCATGCACCGGCTCCTGAATGTACCTGAACCCGCTCCAGTGTTGGTCAAGTCTGGTCTTGAAGATATCACACTCGGTGCCGTCACAACACTCTCTGGTAGATTGTTCCAAGAGTTCACAACTCTCACTCCAAAAAAGTTTGCCCTCACAGTTTTCTGGACTTGCGGCTGTGACCCTTTGTGGGGCGAGCGTCCTCCAGCTCCAAGTAAGGACACTCGACTTTGTAGTGCCCCTTGAGATGCTTATACACCTTAATTAGGTCACCCCTTGCCCGTCTGTAGTATAAGCTAGACAAGTTCAGGCGCTCCAATCTCTCAGGGTAACTGAGGTGCCGTAGTGCAGGCACCAGTCTGGTGGCCCTCCTTTGAACATTTTCAACCAACTGACAGTCCCTCGCATATCTCGGGGACCATACGGGGTGACAGTACTCCAGATGGGGAAGAACTTCACTCTTGAAGATCGTTACGACCTTCTTATAAGACCCAATAATTTATTTGCCTTGATTTACCTTCTTCTCGCAATGGCCCAATAACTCCAGCTCATTGTTAACTTACACACCAAGGTCCTTCTCACATTCAGTCTCAAATAATGCAGTTTCTTCATCCCGTTGGGACATATGATACGCCTCCTTACCGTTGGTACGCCCCAGGTGCATCCTCTTACACTTCGTGACATTGAATCTCAGCACCCATTTCTTCGACCATTCCTGGAGCTCACATAAATCCTTCTGCAGCTCTTCACAGTCCGAAATAACTTGGCGTCATCCGCAAACATTTGTGTGGAGGAGTGTACAACGTCAGTCATGTCATTTATGAAACAAAAAAACAACAGCGGGCCCAATAAAATGCCCTGTGGTACCCCGCTTGTGACAGGTGCAGATGATGATTTCGTGCCATTAATCACCACACACACTGCTTGCGGTCATGTAGAAAGTCTTCTATCCACGCTAGGACATTTCCCCGAATTCCGTACCCTTCCAGTTTAATTTTCAGCCTTTCATGGGGTACACTGTCGAAAGCCTTGGCAAAATGTAGGTAAATATTGTCGATATTACCACCCCGTTCCAGAATATGGGTCCAAATATCCAATGCCTTGAGCAATTGCGTTAAGCAGGAGCGCCCTGGCATAAAACCGTGTTGGCAATCCTTTACAAGGTTGTTTCGTAGTAGATGTTCCATCATGGCATCTTTGGTAATATTCTCAAGTACTTTACATATTATGCTGGTCAGGCTCACCGGTCTATAGTTGTTCGCGGAGTGACGATCGCCCTTCTTGAAGATAGGACTCACATAAGCCATTTTCCAATCACTGGGGACCTGTGGTTCATCCAGGCATTTGCTGAACAAGATCTTCAGGGGCTCGGCAGGCTCGTAGCACAACTCTCTTAGCACTCTGGGATACACCATGTCAGGGCCGGGACTCTGATGAACCTTTAGCTTTGACAGTTTATTTCTAATACCCTCTTCTGTGAACACAATGTGGGTCAGTGCTGTGTCGAACCGTCTGTCCTCAAACACAGGAAGTTTAATCGCATCCTCTCTTGTGAATACCGAGGAAAAGAAGCTGTTCAATGCCTCAGCTTTATCCTGGTCAGAGCCTGCGTAACTATCATCTTCACGCCTCAGCTCTGATACTCCTACTCGCATTTTTAATTTCAACTTTGCATAGCGGTAAGACGCCTTGGGGTTGACTTGACCTCGCTTGCAACCAGCCTCTGGAACTCCTTTGGTTTCTGGCTCTTGCATAAAATCTTCTAGTGTCATGTGGTGTAAGTCAGCAAATAATTAAACTAATTAGACGATACACAAAGGAAATAACCAGACAAGTAGAATAATAACAACAATAATAATAACAATAATAACAATAATAATAATAATAATAATAATAATAATAATAATAAAAATAATAATAATAATAATAATAACAATAATAACAATAATATTTGAAAGATGTTATACGTCAAGGATTCTTAAACTCTCACTGAAGAGTTGTAACTGTACACTGACTGGAGGATTATAACTGCACACTGACTGATGGATTATAACTGCACACTGACTGATGGATTATAACTGTACACTGACTGAAGGATTATAACTGTACAGTATAGTCTTGATTTACGCGGATTTGGTTTACGCGTTTGGTCATTTACGAGGCACCTTGCCAGAATGAAAATTTTTAATTACGAGGTTCATTGCATCATTTACGCAGCGAAAGGTCCAGACGCGCCGCGCCAATTATTATTCACGCGGTCCATTCTTGACCATAGGCGGGGGAAGCGGCGCGGGGGAGGGTGTGCAGTGAGTGTGGCAGTGAGTGTGTCGCTGTTGCGTTATCGCTGACGTCATATGACGGATAGGACTGTGATTGGGTCACGCATCCTAACCTCCCTCCGCCGCTAGCTGTGATTGGTCTAATGTAATATGACGTGCCCAGCCACGGGAGGGAAGAAGCCACTGACCTAGCCAGGCCAGTTTCATTGTTCACAATCTCCACGTATATTGTTCTCTCTTGTGCCCGCTAATCTGTTCAACAATGGCTTCCGCTGGACCCCCACCACCCCAGAAAAACCTTGAATTACCTGGACCAAGCCGCCCCAAGCATATGAAGATACGACGCGCCCTAAGTTACGATGTAAAATACAAAATCGTCCATGACTTAGAAAAGGGAACCCAACAAGTTGATCTCCGCGCCAGCATGGAGTTAGCGAATCTACGATTCGTACAATCAAGAAGGATGCAGCCAAGATAAAAGAACACATGAGCATCACAAAGTCTACAGGTGCTTCAATGGTGAAATATTGTCAGAATAAGGTGCTGCTCAAGACTGAGAATTTACTGGTGAGCTACTTGATTCGTCAGGCAGGACTACGCCCGTGAGCTCTACGAATCAGTGGCGCGCAAGATGGGAATTGCAGAGCCCAAACCCTTCACTGCTTCCTCTGGGTGGCTGCAAGGGTTTAAGAAACGTAACAAGATAACCAACATTAACATTGATGGTGAAGGAGCCAGTGCTGACCGTGCTGCCGCCATGGATTTTCCTCCATTCTTACGAGAAGTTATGGAAGAAGGATAGTACACCGACGACCAGGTGTTCAACATGGATGAATCCGGGGTGTTTTGGAAAAAATATACCTTCAAAGACCTTCGTTGTCAAGTCTGCCAGCAAGTGTCGGGGCAGGAAGTTGCAGAAGGAGCGCATCACCGTCCTGTTCACCACCAATGCCTCCGGCACCTGTAAGCTCAAGTTGTCGGTGATCCACACAGCCCGCAAGCAGCACGCCTACAAGAGCATGGACATGACCAAGCTAAATGTCCACTGGCTAACCGCACGTAGGGCGTGGATGTTCACTGATCTGTCCCTCTCCTGGTTTGACGACTGTTTCGTTCCCGACGTTAAGAAAT